AAATGGCACGGCATCACCCTTCGTGCTTTTACTCTCACCCTCACCATGTAATAATAATATGAATAAAATGGCACGGCATCACCCTTCGTGCTTTTACTCTCTTCATCACCTTGTAATAATGATAATATGAATGAAAAGATACCGCATCACCATTCGTGTTTTTACTCTCTTCCTCACCATGTAATAATGACAATATGAATAAAATGGTACGGCATCACCCTTCGTACTTTTGCTCTCTTCCTCACCATGGAATAAATAATAATATGAATTCGGATAATAAACATTGCGGAGAATAATTTAACTTCTCAGATATGGTGCCATGATATCAAACTTCAATTTTCCAAAAAATATTCAACATATTTGAAATAAGCAATGAATACAAAACGAATAATCAAAGAAGTAATAATCTAAATAAGCATGGATATCATAATTAACAGAATAATATAATACAAAGAAACAATTTTTTCTCGCATGTTTTAACCCAATGACAACGCATAAGTACTCGTCATCTCAAATATACTTTTTCCCTACACATAAAATACATAGCAAATAGACCAACAAGTCCTAATCCATCAAGTCAAGGTTAACCACGATACTTACCTCGCTCCACAATCAAAGAAATCAATCAACCACGGCTTTGCCTCTAGATTAGCCTCCAAACAGATCAAATCAGTTCAAATAATTTAAAATAAGCTTTAGAAACTACCCACGAGTGAAAAAATTCAATCTTTAATGATTTTGGAAAAAGTCAACCCTGAACTCACTTGGTCAAAACTCAAAATTCGGGTCAAAACCCGATTACCCATTCACCCCCGAGCCCAGTTATGTGATTTGTTACGAAATCTACCTCCATTTGGGGTCTAAATCTCAATTTTATAAAATTCTCAATTTCTACCCAAATTCCTAATTTCTACCATGAAAATTCTAAATTTGATGTTTAAATTTCATGAAAAATAATGGGTAATTGAAAGGAAATGGATTAAAGTTTACTAATGAATTTGGGAAGAAAAGTCTCTTGGAAATCGCCCTAAAGTGTTTAGGGTTAAGAAATGGTGTAAAATGAGCTAAGTCTCGTTTTTCCCCTTTATTACCCAACTGCAGATGTCGCAATTGTGAAGTCTTGTTCGGAACTGCGAACATCACAAATGAAAGACAAGGGTCGCAAATGCGAACCCTATAACAGAAGCCCAGAAGTCGTAATTGCGACAAAAGGTTCGCAATTGCAAACAGACCCACCTTCGTAAATGCAAACTTTTCCTTCGTATATGCGAAGATAACTCAAGAACACACTGAGTCGCAAATGCGACTCTGAGATCGCAAATATGACCTCTGACAGTTCGCAAATTCAAACATTTCCCTTGCAATTGCGAGTTTTACCCATGCTCGCAAATGTGAACAATTGTTTGCAAAAGTGAGGCTCGCAATTGTGAGCCAGACCTCGCAAATGCGAGATCTGCATCAAAACAGCAAATTTGGCATTGCACCAGCAGTTCAAGTCATCCAAAACTCTTCTAAAATGCGTCTGAAACTCATCTGAACCCCTCGGGCTCCAAACCAAACATGCACACAAGTGTAACCATATCATACAAACTCGCTCGAGCGATCAAAACATCAAAATAACACCTAAAACTACGAATCGGACACCAAAATGCATGAAAAATTCAAAGAAACTCAAGAACTTTCAAATTCACAAACGAGCGTCCGAATCCTACCAAATCAACTCTGTTTTGCATCAAATTTTGCAAACAAGTCTTAAATAGTAAATGGACCTATACTAAAAAGTCAACCTACGGTCAAACTTCGAAATTCTTTAAACCTTCAAATTACTAGTTTTCAGCAAATCATGTTAAATCAAGTTAGGGACTTTCGAATTTAATTTCGGGCATACGCCCAAGTCCAAAATCACAATATGGACTCACCGGGATCGTCAAAATACCAATCCGGGTCTGTTTACACAAAATGTTGACCATAGTCAACTCAAATTATTTTTAAAGCTAAAATTCATATTTTCTTTAATTTTTCACATAAAAATTTTCAGGTAAGACACACGGACTACGCACGCAAATCAAGAATCACTAAATGGAGATAACTGAGGTCTAAAATAAGTGGTAAAACTCAGAATGACCTATCGGGTCATCACAACTATAGTTCTTCGATATTAGAAGTTGTAAGTTCTTATTGGGTAAAACCTAGATGTTAATTCTCGATTATTATTAAAATTATTTGGATATTGATAAATTATGCTTAATTTTTTTGCTCAAAGACTAATTTAGTGATTTACTTTAAAACTCTCAAAACTCCATTGTTGGTCCTTAGAAAGTGTTGAAGAAGACAAAAATGGATCATCTTGATTTGGTGTTATTTGACTACATTGGTAATTGGGAATCGTTTGTGTTGGCATTTGGAGGTTTGTTTCCAATTGAAATCATTTGGAGCAGAATTGGAGTGATTTCTTCAAAATTGGAATTACAATTTTGAAGAACACTTTGTTGAATAACACAAAAAAAATTATGATGATCGAATAAACTTTGATGAACAATTTAATATATAGGTCAATTGCAGATAAAATAAAATCATATTAATTTGGTACAGTTTGATGAACAATTGAGCAAGCACAAAATCATGCCAACTTGTAGAGTTTGTGAATGATCTAACAAATAGGTCGATGTAGTTAAAACAAAGTCACGCTAATATGGTAGAGTTTGGTGAACAATCAAACAAACACAAAATCATGACAATCGAGTAGAGTTTGTGAACAATTAACAATATAGGTAGAGTAAATATAGTATAAAACTTACCAATTCAGTAGAGAAATTTCTGAGAAGCAATAAGAGTGTACGGGACCAGGCTCATTTTTTAAAGGGAATCTTACACAAATATCCCAAAAAAGTCTCAACTTACAAACCTCTAGCCATTAATCATACACTTACCAAAATTAGTCAAACACATTTAAAAATTGAAACCCAAAGAAATAAGGTTCTTTCTCTCCAAGAATCACACACAAAGATCTCATTCCATATTTTTTTAGCGTGATTAGCAACATTAGATGCAAGACGAAAAGGAATTTCATGGATGCGGTAGCAAATAAGATGATGAAATACAAAAATATATATATATATATACAAGATTCCAAAAATCTAAGAAAAAGGACTTTTTTCAATGGGTATGGTTAAGATTCATGAAAACATATAGATGAGTCAATATACAAAATTTAAGAAAGACTGGAGGTGATTTGGACTGATTTAATATCAAAATTTATAGTACTNAAATCGAGTTCAAAAAATTCTTCTGCAACACTTGTATCAAATATGTATCACGCATGTATCTAGCACGCAGGTATACATTGATATACATGTGATACACATTTGATACAAATATGATACATATGTGATACACCTATTATTTTTTTCATGTTTATCTTCTATTTCGAATTTTCAATTCAAACCACTTCAAAACTCCACTAAATCATCTCAAAATTGAGATTCAAGATCCTTGAAATTTACTCAATCTATTTTAATAATACACACTCAAAAGATAGCAAAAATTTGACCTTTTTTGGCTACAAATAGCTAATTAGCTAATATTGGTAATATTTGGCTAATATTAGTAATATTTTATGAATTGGCCAATTTTAGAGCTCGTTTGGACATAAGATTTTTTTCACTTTTTTTCAAAAAAAAATCACTTTTCTTCGAAATCGGTGTTTGGCCATAAAATTTCCAATTTTCACTTGAAGATGAATTTTGGAATTTTTTAAAATTTTGAAATACTCCAAAAAGCTCTTTTCAAATTTTCATTCAGATCACTCACAAAACTTTAAAAATAACCCAAAATTATATTTATGTCCAAACACAAAAGTAATTTTCAAATACCATTTTTACTTGAGTTTTTTATTTTTTACTTTTTTTGGAATTTCACAATTCTTATGTCCAAACACCACTTAAATAAGTTACTTATAAATGGACATAGATGGTATTTTCAAATACCATTTTCCCTTTTTTAAATACTTTTAAAAAGGAGGAC